AATAACAAACTTATGAATTACTCGTAAATATAAAGTCTTCGAAGCTACCACGGAATAATTTTTCTCCCAAGATTGCCAAGATTGATGTAAGAACACCACCTATGTATAAGCTGTTCTGCTTACAAATAGTCCTCGATTTTCTCGTCCATCAGAAATGTTTAAACAGTTAGGCGCATAATTGGTTGCTAGCCGCAAATCAGGTCGCTCTGAGCTGATATTTTCTATTTTATTGTGTAAATCATGGGCAGCGCGGGCAGAACTCCATAAGCAAGTGCAAAAGTAAATGTACATATAAACATAAATATGTATGCACAGTAGGGTGCCAATCGAAAAAAATTTTTTTTGGAAATTTCAAGACCCTACCCCCTAATTTTATTCATTTTTATGAGAAATATTATTGCCTATATTTATAGATTTTTTAAAGGTCATTTAGAGGTCGCGACCTGTCGTTTTAGGTCAGAAAATAGGATTTTATAGATTTATGAGTTTTTGAATGACTATTTTTGATTCCATTTCAAAGATCGAATATGATCTGAGCGGAGAATATATTCAATTCAATTCAATTTATTTTTAAAAATTATTGTACAACTAAGACACTGCGGTCTTTTATATGTACATCAGCTGACATTTTAAAATTTTATTATGAACATCTTATTATAAGCATTTCATGAGTAGGAAAAAAAATAAATAAAAAATTAATAATAATAATTCTTTGCACATATTCTTAAAGTAAAGGATATACGTTCATAAAGTGAACTTAGGATTGAAACAGAAAACAGACATACTTAATACGAATAGATAGGGAAAGATATACAAATAGGTTCGCGCCAGGATTATTTATAGTCAAAAGGCAGAAAGAGTATCAATTTCACTAAAATGTTGAAGAATTACCCTTTTAAAGCTGCTCCCATTCAGTCCAGCTTTGACACTTTCCGGAATCGAGTTCCACAGTCTTACAGCGCTAACGAAAAACAGTCGGCCCGAGGTAAGATAGTTATATTTAGGAATAACCAAGCTGTTATGTCTCCGTGACTTGGTTGGTTGAAGCTTTTCATACAAGTATTTAGGAACTTTCCACACTAGCAATTTAAACATGAACATGCAGTTTCTCGCGGCTAAATAATTTAATATGCTACATCCCAGAATTTTGTCTCTCCAAGGCGATATGTGACCATAACGACTTAAACCTTATACATATCTCGTAACATTATTGAATGCTACATTGATCTTTTTCGCCGAAATCGAATCAAGTTCTCTATAAACTAATTAAAAATACGTCAAGTGGGGTAAAATTAATTGCGAAGCAAGTTTTCGCCGAGTTTCTAGCGGTGTATATGATGCAGAGATTCCTAACCTACGTATAGTGACATATACACTGCTAACTGCCTTATTTACATGGTCAGAACAGCTTAACTTGTTATTTATAATAAAACCCAAGTTCCTAATTTTATCAGTGGTTTTGACAGCAGATGTGCCAATCCATAATGATGGTATGTTATCGGTGGCCACCCAATCTTTACATATAGGCATAACATAAGACTTTGCAGCATTTAAACTCAAACCATTTTTCTCAGCCCAACGCAGAATATTAGACAGATCACTATTTACTTTATAACATAAATCTTCAACAAGACCGATACGATTAGAAAGGTATAACTGAATATCATCAGCATATTTACACACAGAAAACACATCATTGACAAACATACTAAATAAAAGAGGACCAAGAACTGATCCCTGAGGGACACCCACATTTATAAATTTGAACTGTGAAGAAGCAATCTCTCCTTTAACTTGCTGAACTCTGCCCACAAGGTAGCTACGTAAAAGCTTAATAGAACTATGAGAGAATGCAAACAGGTTCCTAAGTTTCCAGCAGAGTCAAGTATGGTTGACCGAGTCAAATGCCTTAGAAAAATCTAAGAGGCAGAGCAGAGTTAAGGCACCATTATCGAACGGCACTCGAATATCATCTAAAATTTGAACCATAGCAGTAGCAGTAGTGGGGAAAGCAAGTTGTTAGCTTCAATAAACTTTGAGATCTGCTCAACCATTAAGACTTCACATACCTTCGAAAATGCTGGTATGATACTAATAGGTCTGTAATCCGAAGGATAGGATGCAGGGAGTTTCTTTGAAACAGGCAAAATGATCGCTCTTTTCCAAGCTGCAGGAAAACAAGCCTCTAGCTGTACAAGATTAATTGTTGTCTTTTTCGAAGTCCTTTAAATAAAACTTCAAGTAAATACTGAAGTATATTTACGAATATCACATTTTATTGTAAGCTTAAATTAAATTTCTTACTTTTAGTAAGTATTTCTTACTGTATACACCCGAATTTCGGGGGTTTCTACTAGTTTTAAAAAGTGGTCAGTTTAATTTCTTATAAAATTTACCTTTAGATTATTGCATCTTAAGCATACATCGAAAATTTGTTTTAGAGAATCAATGTGAAATAACTGCAGAAGCGATTAACCGATTTGCTGTGCAACCGAGACGTCTGCTTTTTAAATAATTTTTGTAAAACAAATCGGCAAGTACATATCGTTCCCCGCATGCCAGAAATATGAATGCGTAGAAATTAAAATTTTGGGAAATCAAGTTTGAATTTTTTTTACGAGACTTAACTCTGCATTCATGTAATTGACAATGTGAAATATGTGCTTTCCGTGAACGCATGGTATTCTGAGTTTTGGTATAACATAGGACATCCAACGGTCAAGCAAGTCAACCCAATAACTCAAAATCGATGAATTTACACAATCATGCTTCTGGCATAAGGGCGACGATATGTACGTAGTTACTTCACATTTATTAATTTTTTATACGTCTGTCCTATATGTCTTCGTAGTAAAAAAATAGTAGTTATATTTCGAGACCTGAGTGGAAGATCGACCTACATATGTATTGCGGCAGCCAGTTCGAAAACGCCCTATATCAGAAAACTTTTCAAGAACGCCCTATTTCAGAATATGATTGAGGAACGCCCTATTTCAGAATTCTATTGAAAAACACCCTATCCAAGATATTGTTTTAAGAAGGCCCTATTTCAGATTTCGGTTCAAAAACGCCCTATCTCAAATTAAAATGTATTCAAAATGTGCTGAGATAGGGCGTTTTTGAATCGGCAGCTGAGTTATGGCGATTTTGCACCGAATTCTGAGATAGGGCGTTCTTGAAAAGTTTTCTGAAATAGGGCGTTTTCGAACTGCCTGCCGAGATACGTCGATCTTCCACTCAGGTGCCGATTTCCAGTTAATATTCCTCTATTTGCATGAAAACAAGTCAAAAATGTATGTTTAGTACTCCACTCTACTTAATAAACTACATTCATCGGCGATTCCCATGCAATCGCCACGCTTAAACTTTCTCCGATTCACCAGAAATTTTGGATAATACGTTTTTTCACGAATATTTACCAATCTAGGGGCTGCGACATAACAAAATCCGATAAATTAAAATAATATAAGCGTACATATTTAAATTGTTAAAGACCCCTCTAAAACTAAAGATGTCAATTCAAGCTTATTATATCAAAGCTCAGGGGTGATTCTTCATAGCTTTTAGTTGCGATTCTATTTAGAAATCGGCGTGTTTATTTAAAGTAAAGGTTTTCTTTTAAAACATCCACGAATATCCTTAAACAATTAATCAGAATTGCAGGACTTGAAATATTTTTATGAAGCTTAAATAACCACGAAAAAAAGTATTTGCCGTTTAAACATTTGTCTACGTGTTTGGCCAAG